CATGACTCTCTCTCAAAACTTGTTTTTTCTACTTCACAGTAGAAGGTAAGATCTGCTGGTTTTTTTTCTACCAAATACATCCTTGAAATTAACTTTTACATTTAACTTTACATTTCTTCCTCTGAACTGTTTTTTTTCTTCCTGTTAGTGCAAAGATAAAAGACATGCATATAAAACACAGGCCCTTATTATTTTCACTGTAGCACTATACAAATGAATTCAAGCAAATTCAAAAAGGGAACTGACCAGGAGATTAATTCTTTTAACGTGAACACCGCTGAATTACACCAAAAACAAAGGCAGTTTAGCTTCACAAGAAAAAAAAAATGAAAAAGAGGGGACTATATATTAGACAGTTCCACAGACGTTCCACTATCAAACCTATTTATATGCACATATAAGGAAGGGAAGAGATGAAGCTCTAAGAGCTTTATTGAAACTGCTGTGCCACAGGCAATAACTAAAAAACCTAGTTCAGGAGAAGATATCGTTATGGAAAGGCGAAGTTAACTGCTTCTGAACTCTTAGTAGTACTTACTCATTCATGGATGAAAGTCAACTACATGGAAATTTTCAGGTTTTAAAACCTTCACTAAGTTTTTAGGAGATACTTCCACATTCCCATCCCAGTTCATCAGGCAAATGGAGTTCATCCAGAACTCTCGAGTAAAAATTCACTTTATGTCACAACCGAACACCAGTACTTGAGAAAGTTAAGAAGCCAAAACACAGAAACATATAAAAAAGTTGCTATCTTAGGGGGAAGATTTTTACTATAGCATAATGTGCAATATAGCAGACTTATGGCTGCTGAGGGAAACATACATTTGAAGTTCCAGACTTCTGTGAGTTGAAAATGTGAGCAGTAATGTTACAATACAGCAGTTAAGCCGAGTACAAAGGATAAGAAACTTTAAAAAATGGAAAAATACTCTGGTTATGTATTTATAATGGCAGTAAAACACTGTTTTCCTAGATCACATTTTAAAACCTCAGGGCAACAGTCTTAACTACAGATTAAGAACAGTAGCTATAGCTATTAAAACAGAGATTAAAAAGAGCCATCAGCTCCTTTGAACACCTTAACTTTTACCACCTTCATTCTAGTTGCCCTAACAGATGTAGTCTGTGCATCTGATGGATCTTTGAGAAGGAGCATGAATCCCAATAAGAGACAGCATAGACACAGGAACCATCAACATAAAAGAAGCTGAGAAATAATATGAAAAGAAGTAGGAAAACATTACAACCCAAATTCTGCAAAAACACATTACATATTAATGTCCGTCTATCACAATACTAATTTGAAGCCAATACCATTTACAGCCACCACTGTGTCTTAGTATTTCAGATTCCTTCTCAACTAGGGAGCTGTAGAGCTTACTTAAATCACAGACTTGCAGGAGTCTCATGAATAAATTCCCTGCTTAGACACAGAACTCCTGAACTGCTCTGAGTAACCCCAAAAGAAGCTAAACTATAAAATATGTCCCAAAAATGAGAAACAAAAGGATATCTACCATTTGAGACTTTTTACAAGCAGATACAGGAAAAAAATGTATGTATTTCCTAATGATTTGTCACAAAAGGGAAAAAAAAATCTACTTTTTTTCTCCATTTGTTATGCCAGCTCTTCCTTGACTGACAAGACCTCAAATTTTTGTGACACTGCCCTTTAAATGCCATCCTAATCTAAATCACATGTTCAAGTACAACAAAAACACCTGCTTTATGCCTACAGAATGCACTAACCAAAGGAGCCTTTCTTTCAGTAGGTACTTAGAATTTACCAATTTACTTAGAACTGGCAGCTGAACTGGAGGACGCAGATGAACTGTTGTAACACAAGCATTACAAAAACATTTCTTACAGGTTAGGAAGTTCTTCATATATAGCACTTGAATGTGTATTCATGTTCATGGGGTGCACAGCAAGCAACTGTTCCAGTGCTCTGCCCTGGCTGTAGCTGGAGATGCCTGTTTACCCACCTCACCTGTTCCATGCACTAACAAGGCAGCACCTGCCACACAATCTCATGTGTTGCTTCTGCCAGATTCCCCTAGAGATGGAAGAACTAAGTGAGCATCAAGCAATGTAGTGAATTGCCACAGGGATGAGTGTCACCTCACAGAGCTCCAGCTGGGAATCAACCCCCTTATTGTTCAAAGTGTGCAATGCACACAGATACAATATGGTAAATCCAAAACAGTACTTCATCCTACACACGCACACAGAGAGCCATATATGAAGACGTAGAAGATGCCTCCACCAAAATCGTTTCTGATCAGCAGGGGGTCTGAGCTGCAGGAAACTGAGAAACAAAGGCATCAACAAGGCATGAACAAGGTGCTCTTTAAGCAAGGCCACTGGATCAGACTGCACTCTTGAACAGGCAATGCCATGAGCTGATCTGTGTCAGTGGTCTCATCACATGCAGATATTGCAATCAAAAATTTTCAGAAAAAACAAGGACCTAAACAAAATCACTAGAGAGCAGCCTTTTTTGCAACTGAAAGGAAAAAACCTCACTTCCTGAAGGATACACCCTATTTCACAACTGCAACAGTGTGAAATTTCAAAAGGAAAACCAGACAGTCCTTTCCTGATTCAGAATCTATTTGCCTGAAGACAAAGTTCAATAGAGATTGATTCACAGCTTGTCCTCAGACCCCTGAAATCACAAGCTACAGAAGGTAAAGAGAGCGTGTGGTAATGCTGCAACATTTTTTCTACCAATTAAAACATTTGGTTTATATTTCTGCAATATTTTTCTTTTCTTCAGAAGCATATTAGTTACACTAACTACTTAAAACTTTTTAATGTTCTGTGGGAATTAATAAATTGTATCATAATCTTGCTCAATCAGTTAATTTACAGAAAATTGTGTCTACATACCGTCTTCTAGTATGAAGAAAACTAGATAGCACACTTATTTAAATGGCATTTCATAACAATGACAATCTATCTACACAATGTCAGTAATTTTACCATACTAATAAACTCCCTAAAAAACAACCACCAGAGCTACAAGGACAATAAAGTCACAAAAAATTACTAAGAACTTCAATTCTCTTTGATTCACATGAAACAAAAATTGCCAGAAGTCTCCTTAAAATAGTAAGAAAATTTTACTTTATACAACTTAAACCTATTTCATTAGTACATTAGTCTCATTAATAGATACTGTCATCACTACATATTTAATTACATTACTAAAGTATTGGTTTACGGAGTATATTTAACATTATGTGAACAATCAGTTTTGCAACAGAGAGACAGTTTTAGAAAAAGGTCATACCAAATATACAGTGTATTTTTGGTTTTATAAGGATATGATATTTGTGTCAATCTCATCCTCATTTTGTAGTTATCCAAAGACAAAACCTTCAAAAGACACACAGTATCATCTGTTCTGCAGTCTGGGGCATACAAAGTGTGGATCTGCACATACCTGATCCTAGCACTGGAAAGTTCTGTCTGCTATGAGAATAAAGATTCAAAATATAGACTTTCATTTTTCAATAGCAGACAAAACTAAGTTCTTACCCCATAACTTCACATCTTTACTACCAGATCACTAGTGAAATGTTTTATTTTAGCTGTCATCTTGTCTCTTGGCACATAAGTCAGTTTTGTAAACAAACCAAACAACAAAGTAAAAAAAAAAAAAAAATTAAAAAAAAACCAAAACAACAAAACCAAGAATAAATAACCCTTCAGAAACAGAAGGACCCTATTTATGACCAACAATGGATCATAACCACACTTAAGATGACCATTCTTCCCTATGTCTCACATTCTAAACCTTAAAAAAAGAGAAAAATTGGAATATGTTCTACCAATTTTATAAACACTTCAATAACTTCTGTTCATGGTCCTAACTTTTACCTTAAAGAAAAGGATAAAACAAGTGTTTTCATACCTTAACTAAATCACTAAATGTGTTCCTGATACCACCAACAAATAAAAAGGGAACCATAATTTATCATGAAATACTGTTCTTTCTCTTCAGGGACAACAAAACTGGTAAGTATTTTGAATTAGGAGAAGTTTCAGGGGAATAACTTGATGAATTGAAAAACCCTATTGTAAAAGGAGAATTGCACAAATGGGACTGGCAAAACCTTGAAGTGAAAAGCTTAACTATAATAATGGAAGACTACAAAAAATTCTATTAGCTCCTGCAAAAACTCTCCCTCTTAAGTAAGGCTTCAAAGTCCTATTATAAAATACCAAATAATGAAATCTGTCCACCTCTTTATGAGCACTGAACAATATGCTTCAAAACTAATATCATGACTGAAGTGTTGAAAAGAAACACTCTAAAAGCAAAAAGTTCTTCTAATTAATATACAGAACTTAATTATGATGTTCAAGGAAGACTCTCTTAGAAAAATTTAGATGAAATTTACAGCAAAATAACCTTTTATCCTGAAATGAAATAGTAAGAAAATTGTATTCAAAGCTTTTCATATTTCTACCTTACAAAGCTGAGCAAGAATCAGTACCAAGAAGATTAATGATTCTGAAGTTACTGACTGCTTAAGTGTTAAATTACTTCACAAAATAAATCCAGAAAAATGTATTTGCTTCCAGGGACCTAAACACTTGTATTATTCTTTTCCTAACACTGGCTGTTACCACAAACCAATTAAAGACCTGTACTACACATGTCAAAAACTGGGCAGTTTCAGGTCGGAAAAGTCCATGTTCCCTCTTAGGTATGTAACAGAGCAAAGAAACTTTAAGATCCCTACTTTCCTGTTAATGACCAAAAGGATGGCACAATGTAAAGCAGAAAGTGGCACAAAGTGTGTGTGCCACAAATGGCACAAAGTAAAGCAGAAAGTGATGACTGGTTAAGTCAAACCCACACAGACAAAACTGCTCTCTTGATTCCAGATAATAACCAATAGCAGACTGCCATACATGGAAACTAATTTATGTATTAATCTAAAAACCTTCTCTCTCTAAGTTAGTATCTATTGATGCACCCTTACCAAGCTTCAGGTAACAGCAAAGCATACTCGTGTGGTGAAGTAGTCTCTGGGAAATTGGAGAGAATCGCCTGTCTGTGTGGAAGTAAAGCTGATCCATGGAAAGTGAACAAAATTTCCAGGGCTCTGACATTGCTTTCCTGAAGAACAGAACAGTAAGTTGCAGAGCTTAAGACTGATTTAGACTGAAAATGAGCAAGAAAGTTGGGATCATACAACAAACAGTTCATTTTTAAATTTTCTTTAGCAACAAAAAAAACAAGGTCAGAGTCACAGCATTTATTTATTTAAAATCAAACAAAGACACCACCTCTTAAATTTCCATTGAGATTCAACCAAGTTCAAAGGGAGGAGGAAAAAGCACTTTAGTGCAAAGAGCAATATCAAAACAACATTGGATTCTAGCAACATAAATATTAATACCCGAGCATAAGTTCTTGCTGAAAGTACAATATTCTGATTTCTGAACTTCTTAAAGAATTCTCCATCATAATGCTCAGCTGCATGAGGCCCTCCAAGGATTTCCTTAAAAAAAAAAAAAAAAAAAAAAAAGACTGCTTTTTTATACATACAAGACTTACAAAAGCATCAAAAAGTCCACACATCTTTTTATCCCAGGATGAGGAAGTATGCGATATATGCTGAAAAGTATGCTGGGTTTTTTGTTTCAGTATGAAAAAAACAAGACGCATTTCTGGTTGATAAGACAATTTTCTGCCTTATTTTAATTAAGGTTTAGACATGATTAATTACAGGGATATGGTAAAAGCCATAATGGGAGCGTGTGCATTGGCAACTGCAAACTTAAAACCTTAGTAAAATAGTTTGACATTCCAAAAACTTTCACTTTTGTAAGCTCATGGAAGAAAAAGGTTTGTTAAGAGAGCCTGCACAGAACTTGTCAATTTCACTGACAGGGATATCACAGTAATCCTGCCTGAACTCTACATCCCATGCAGTTGCATAACTCAACTCCCTGCAGACACAGGATGTTCAAAGCAGGCTTTTGCCCAACTGCACCTCTCAAAATTAGAAGCCATCCTTTTGAGACAGTGAAGCAGAAGAAACAGTCACTTGAACAGAAAACACTTTACTTCTCTCCAGTGATAGATTGTAGCCTTTCAACAAGGCCATAAACATTAATACCACAATAAATAACAAAAAAGGGTAAGATGATGTGATGCAGAAGTTGCAGAAGGAATACCTGAGAAGAAGAACTCACCTCATAGGTCTCAAGGCGATCAAGGTAAGTTAACAGCTTCAGCCTGCTACGGCAGAGCTCCTTCTGTTCCAGGGTCAGCCTGTGTTCAGAACAGGAATTTTCACGTTTGCCATTAATATTTTATGTCACATGAATATGAAGACAAAGGTTACACATTTTAATGACTTTGTGCACTGGGATATATCAAGAAATATATACAGAGAACTTTGATACAATATAATGCCAATTAAAATTTAAACCACTTTTCTAGTAGGAATTATATATATGAGTAATTATGTTCTTGCAACTGTGTAGTTATTATAAACTTATAATTCTGAATAAAACATGGCTTAACATTTCATTTACTTTGAGAAGTTTACTGATAATAGCAGTTCTTGACGCTTCTTGGCCTCCTTTTCCTTTCTAGTATCCATTTCTTCATCTGGTGACAGGTCTTCATAGGGAATTTCAATATCCACTTCTCCTGGTAAGATGAATCTGGAAGACAAAATCAACAATCTAAGCAATGAAGAGGGGAAAAAAAATGAAATCATTTTTTAAGAGATGTTAAAACAGTTTTTTGTCTATGTTTTGACTAAAAACCGGCACATTTATAGAAAAATAGTCAATTTTTGTGTTTTAAACAAGCAGGGATTCTTCCCAAGCCAACAAGAGACATCAACTCCTGTTTCTACTCCCTCCCAAAAAGAACCCAAAACCGAACTTGATAGAAGTTTCTAAATTCCACAGCCAGCAGCTGGATTGGCAGCAGCTCTCCAGCACACAATGGTAATAGAAGACTGCACAAAGAAACAACAGCCTCTTTCTATTTCAGTTTCAATAGAAATTGAACACTGAAGAGATTTGTCTCTACTGTGTCTTGTTTCTGCCTGATGAACACAATTAAGACATAACCAAACACATTTGTAGGGTCAGTTGCAGCTTTCAGAAGCACAAGAGAAACAGACTCTCATAGTAAAATATTACATAATAAATTCGCTCTGATGAAGAAATTACAGGGCATATATTTACAATGAACACTGTATTTTATATACATACAGAGATAAAATGTATAGGCACTTTATGGACATCTATAGGATAATCTGAGTCAAAGCATGACCTTTCTTTATGTCCTGCAAAAGCTTATCAGTATTTTCACTAGCGGTTGATCAGAAAAACAAAATTACCAAATTACTATAAAATACTTTATACATCATTCTTTAAAAAGAAAACAAAGAAAAAAATACTCTTCCCAAACCTGCCACCATCTTCTCCTTTTCCTATGGCCACAAGAGCCTCCAAGTCTGTGCCTTTCAAGCCATACTGAAGCAGCTTCTTAGCAGCATCTGCATTTTCTGGAACTCTCTCCAAGCACTCATGAAGAACCCATGCACGTTTCTTGATTTTGCTCTATCCAACAACAAGAGCACAGACACAACGTTACATGCTCCAATCCAAAGCAATGGAATCAGAGATTAAGGTAAAGTTTTCTCATGTATTTTTTTCCACTTAAGAAAATGTCAAGCTCCCCTGGCGACTGACAATGCAAACCAACAAAAGAGATGAGAATACAATAAACACAATTCCCTCAGAGGGGAATATATATGTGGCTGAAAAGGGCATGGAAATATCAAATTATTTAGAAGAACTTCCACAACAACTGGAACAGAAGTTATTATTTGTAGTTTCTAATTAACATCACTCCTTTTTACACTAAATAAAATGTGATGGTTTGGGGGTAGAATACATAAATCACGTAAATTATAAACCAAATGTATAAATGTATAAACCATAAATAGCACTACAATAATTTTCAATACCATCCTCTTCACATGCCACTAAGATTCTGTGACAGAAAAGGCACCAGAATTACAAAACGTATTTGCCTTATCTGCTGATCTTTCATCGACATTGCAGATCACATACAGAATGGCTAAATATTGATATTCAGTCAATATCTGCCTTGAAAAAAAACCAGAATACACTTCTCTTGATCTCTTGTAATACTTTAGCCTAGACTAACATACCTATCTATACTATTATACATACACTAATATACCTATATTACTAAACTATACTCTATCTACTATTCTAATACTAAACTATATATTACTATTCTATAGTAATAGTATATTTCTATTACTAATAGTTTGCCACAACCATGAGGTTGTACAACTTCAACACCATTTTTCTGCTGAGTTAGAAATCTTTCCTCCAAGCCAAAAAAAACCCAGGTTGAATTCTACTGAAAAGATCAGTTACAGTTTGCAGTGTTCACTGTAAATTTTTTTATTCAAACTTTGTGATACAGCTACTGATGCCAACTTCATCTTCCCAATATATTTTTTGTAATACCTTGAAGTTTAAACAGTTGGTATTTCCAATTATTATTCTTCATTTGCCAGGCAATAATCTACTGCTGCATGTGGAGGAAGAGATTACACACAGGAAGTGTGTTGCTATTAACAGAAGACAGAAGATATTCCAAAAGACTTTCATTAACCGCCAAGGTTTCTAGATCAGGCCGTCAGTTAAACTGCTCTCTTACACATGACATGAAATTGAATTTTCAGAACAGTTCTTCAAACTTCCACCAATTTACATTGCATAAATCATAACACAATTGAAAACTCCATTTCTGCAAAGATAACACAGACAGTCTGATAAGAAAGCCTAAAAAAAAAAAAATCACAAAACACAAACGCACCAAGTAGTCTTGAATTGAAGCAACATTAACAGCTGACTTCCTCCACTGTCTCTGGTATACAAGATCAGAGTCAAGGCCATATGTTTGAGCTAAAGACAAAGCTTCCCCATATTCTTCATTATCAATCTAAAAAGCAAACGCATGACAATGAAAGTCATCTGATTTTCTGTACTGAACAATGAATTGTTTGTTAATTCTGTGTGTTGAAAGAGGCAGAGGGATAATTACTGTGGGTATGCAAAAGCAGGTAGGAAAGATATTGGTTCAAGACAGAGGTAAGTAAGACTCAGATCTGATGGACACCTCTGGAAAAATCAAAGATTTTTCCCCTCAAATAAAAGGAAGATGTTATTTAGGTAGCATTGCATTCATTATACATCATATTTAGTCTGACACCAGCACTCCCTGTGAACTGTAACAGTTACAGAGTGGGCTGATTTACCATCTGAACAACTGCAATGGCCTAGACAAAGCAGTCTGTCCAAGATCTCTAAAAACAGAGCAGTATTTGTTTGGTAAGAATGACTCAGAGGCTAATCTGTACATATATCTGAAAAAATATGCAAAAACAGTCACAGAAGACTGTAAGTTAACCCACTCCTGGGCCAACAAGTTAAACCGATTTCACTCAATATCTGCCAAGTCTCGCACTACATGCAAACAACATGAGTACATGTCCAAGTCTAGCCAAGCCAATGATACACAGTGTCTCCCAGCAGAAACATCACATCATTTCAGTTATTATAATGCTAGTTTTAAAAAAGGATCCTTTTGATCAGGTGACACAGTACACTGTGAGTTAACACGCTCTCAGAAATATGCGCCTAAATCCTTTCGTCAACAGAGCAGGAATTAAAAGAAAAATAAAAAGCTCTTTCTAAATAAAGCTGATTAAAAGAGATTTGACTTCTCCTTCCAGACTTACTTTCCTCTGGTACAGTTCCTCTGGAGTTGTGGATCTTAAGCTGACAAGGCGGAAATTCTTTGTAATAGTACGTGGTCGTTTTCGTGGAGGAGCAAATCGTTCCATTTCTGTTACAAAGTACAGGCCTTGCTTTAGGTAGCTGAAGTATCTGTCCTTAGCAGAAGATTCCTCATCTGAGTCCGAGTCATCATCTCCCTCATCTTCATCACCAGGCCTGCTCTCCAAGCGCAGTCTTTTTGGAACTAGTTTCACCTCACACTGCAAGAAAACACGAACAAGAAGCACCCACCTAGTACACCTTAACTAGTTTAGTAAGAACTGAGTACATCTTCCACTTCAAATTTCAGAATCAACATCCTTCCGCCCTCTCTCCTTTAAACCCTTTGTTCCTCAGTTTGCTTAACCTGTTCCACAAACCCTGACTGCATCTGTCTCCTGGATGTGAGGTTTCATCCCTCACCTACCAAAGTGAAGGCTTCTTAGTAACCTGCCTTTACTCTACACCTCCTGCACCAGCCAAGATAGGGCAGAACAGTGGAGACCTCTTCTCACACTTTGTATAGTTTACTGCAGCATACAGGAGTGTTTTCAACTCTCAGCTATTCAAATCAAGGTTTTCTATTCAATGCAATCTCAGACTACATCCTTAGGCTGTGGTATGCCACTCACTAGCTATACATATTATTCCCAGAATAATACAACTTTTCAAAAACATACGCACAAGCTTTGTACTCATTTTCTAATTCTAACGTTTTGATGAAGATGTTTAAGACCTATTTCAATATAAGCTTCAGAAAAGCAAAATTTTCTGTTTTAAAGAAAATTACTGGTTAACTTTATTATATTCTACTCCCTTCTAGAATCCTACTAAAAATAAACAAAAAATGTATCTCTTACATCGCTCTGCCTTCACTGTGTTCCTCATGCCTAATTAAAACTTGTTCACTCTTTCTTTATGAGCCATACATAAGTGGAAGAGGGATGGTTGCAGTGTTCTTCAGAACACTAACATACAAGGCAAGGTTACTGTCAACACAAATTTTTTTCTGTTGCAAGTTTCCTCTCATTGAGACTCAACATGCCAGGAGTTTTGCTTCTACTCTCCACAAGTTACTTATTGTTTTATCAAGTTTTCCTTAGAACAGTTAAGCTGCAGCAAATTCAGAATCCCCCTGCAATGCCTATCTACAGATAAGGAAGAAGAATCACTTTTCCTATTAGCAATAACATCTTCTATTTTAACCCCCCTACCTTAGGATCACACACAAAAAAGCAAACTGTTATACTGCAATATGAAAGGATACGTGCTTGTGCACATCCCTCACCTCCAGACTTAGAAATCCTCCATCATGAGCTGAAGTGACCTGAGGAGAACTCTCAAACCATTCACACGTCTTTCCCAGCAGGTTTCTTAATGTCTTAACTGATGACACAGTCAATGCACCAGAGCAGCGAGCAAGGATGACAGAATTATCTGCCCACCAATTTACATCTATCAGTGGATAATAGGATTCTTTATCTAAAATAAGAATGTACCATATAAAGAAAGATAACGTTAAACGTCAGGTAAGAACAGAGGAGACAGTCATTATGAAGAAATATGGTCTAATCTAACAGATATTTATTGTTATATTTGCAACCTTGGTTCACTAAGTCTGTATTCTATATCAGTTATCTTTCACTAAACCATTTTTGTATTAAATAAAGCTGTTGAGAACAAAAGAAGTCACAGTTACAAATAAAATGCATATAAATTATATGGAAAAAATTCACAGTAAACTGATTTACTTGCATGAAAACTAACAGATTTTTCATCTATGACAAAGATCTACTTCATTACCTATCAGGCCATCCTCAGCATGACAACAAACCTAATAATAATGAAAATCAGAAAAGGCTATACTGCTTTTGAGGACAAGTAAACAGATCAACATATTCCAAGAGGAGACGGTTAGGAATATTAAACTAAAAAACCAAATAAACAAGAAAGTCTTTAGGACTGAGGATGGAAGCTGTGGCACTTCCAGTCACTGTCTTGAATATGGCAACTGGGTGTTGGGATAAAATGTTCATCAGAGAGTGAGCTCATTTTGCTCCCCACACATCACTTCCCACTCCTCTGATGAAAACAACCTTTCCCCAAACAGCACTAAGACACAGGTCAGATTATTCCTTTTTAATAGTGCTTCACCAGCAGCATACCTATGAAGGTCAGATGAATTAACCCGAAGAGAGAATCTCCAAGGAAAATATTACAATGAAGCAGGAATTTTTTAATAATATAGATGTGTATAAACAGCAGCAAATTGATCATGGAATAGCTATTGATCTCTGCACTCTTGGAACAGCCATGCAATAACCAGGTGCTAAATGGCTGCTCAGATTGGCCTGAGTTTTCAGAAAATAATAGAGTGTGATGAGGTAAATCCAGTTAGAGGAAATTGCTCTAGAATTGTTTTTAGAATTTTAAACTGGTATCTTTAAATTACAGTAGCTTTCAAGATTTATTAGACGTTTACAGGAAGAAAAAATGAAATCCTGTGCTAACTGAAATATCAACTTTTTTTATGGCTATAAAAGCATTTCTAAAAGAGAATCTGAAAAAAAACCTATTGTGACACTAATTTAGCTCTACCATGCTACAAATTCAAATCATGCTATTTTGGCAGCCTGACTGAGATTTAATTCAGCTATTTCAGTCCTCATATATTTGCACTACTATTTTTAACTGCACAGTGATACAAAATTATGATCTAACTGTAATGCATACCTTTTATTTTCTTTCTTTTTTCACTAGAGAGTCTCCAGTCTGGGTTAAGCTCATCATAGCCAGGCTAAAGAAAAAAAAAAAAAAAAAAAAATTACAGGCAAGTACATCTTTGTAACACAGAATCCATTTATTTACCCTGTAGCTGACCCACACATTTTTCAATTAAAATGCTCTCAATAAATTCAAACTTCTCAAGCATAAATGTACAACTGCTGCAGTACCATCGTACTTTGCTACAGACAATTAGAAGAAAAAAAAAAAACCAAAACCACAAGTCATGGCCTGACCAGCTTTAAAAAGCAATCATACCCTAAAGATTTCTGAAATAAAGGCTCTCCAGCAATCAAAAGCCAAGTGTTTGCTTTTCATGTCTATACATAGGACTGCGGCATATAAAATAATCTCCAAAAGAGTCTGTGTAGTGGTCCTGTGTGACAGTCTAGCACAGTTCTCCAAGTATTTTCCCCGGCTATTTTCAGAATTACAAAGCCCCTTTCAAGCCTAGTGCAAGAAAAGCAGCAGCATTATTAACTGATGCACTGCAAGGTTTAGAATTATGTTGCAGAGCTGTTATTTTAAACGTGATTTAGCAGTGACAGAAATCCTGCCCCCCAGTGCAACTGGAAGTACAGTGGAAGTACAGGAAGCTGAAATAACTGAAGCACATTTGGATAAAGCAGAAGGTGTTTTTCAGACTTGATTTTTCAGTAGAAAGAGGAAAGTCTACTAATTAAAAGTAAACATGAGGTCACTCTAAGGTAATTGCACACATATTATGAAAACACACATGATCCTTGGATACCAGTTTCACCTATAAAAAAAATTTTGAGAACAGTCAAGCACTAAATATTCCTTTATATCACCCTCACTCAATTATGAAGTCGCAAATGCTCCTTCAGAATACATATTCATTATTGCTAAAAACAAAGAAAAAATACAACTGACTGTAAGCATCCTTGAGCAAAATTTGTCTGAAGTGTGTATTAAAAATAGAAATAAACAGATATGCATATATAGACACAACACTTATCCCAACACTAGAGTAGAAATTCTTTGAGCATTTTTTTATTTGTTTTGGTTGCTATTTAAAAATGCTTTCCTAAATAAGCTTGAAATTACATTTCGATCCCATTTGTTCACCCTCCTTGGAACAGATATTGGTTTATTTCTCACAGGTTTATAACATAAGAGACAGTACTCCAAGTAAAAAGCCTTTCTTTAATGGGAGGAAAATCAGAACACTTCACATACTAGTGTGCATCATTTCAGATTTTTCACTTTTCAGAATACATTTCCTCATTAATATAAAGTTGGCTTTTTTTCTTTGAAAACTAATTAGCGTTTTAAATTCACACAAGTCACTAAAAGTTTGCCAGTGTCTGAGCAATTCCTAATGTAAGTTCCCCTACTTCGTTTTGCAAACAATTCCTGCAAAAAGCGTTGGACTTAACAGCAAATTGATTAAGAAAATAGTCTACAGCATCATCTGGAACCAGGCATGGTAAATTTTGAGGGAGGAATAGAATACCCTAAGATATCCAGAATTTGGTTTCAACCAGTGAAATAAATTTAACCACATTAGCCTCCACTTCTCGTCTATAACTGCATTTCATCTAATGGCGTTACAGTCTAATTCTAACAGTGTTACCTACTCGGTACCAAAATGCCTCATGAAAAATTCAGTGCAATATAATTGGTTCTTTTTCTTAATTTTTCAAGTTTAGTTTATGGGCATAACATTCTAATGGCGTTACAGTCTAATTCTAACAAAATGTACCAAAATGCCTCATGAAAAATTCAATACAATATAACTGATTCTTTTTCTTAATTTTTCAAGTTCAGTTTATGGGCATAACATAGAAAGATTATAATAAATGTAAGTATAGGGCTCCTGAAAAACATGGAGCTGACTGGGAAGCTAGTGTGTAGTTAACACACAGTTACCCCAACTCCTCTCATCTCCTATAAAAACTCAATTTCAGAGGAGTAAGATATATAATTCAAGTTTCTAAACACGCACATTATTCTTACCTGAGCAGTTTGGTCCCATTCTCCTTGTTGTCTGAGAGATGGAATAGACCAGATCGTCAGTTTTCCGGAAAAATGAATAGCTGCCAAAAGAGCTCCATCAGGAGAAAGATTCATCTTGAAAACTCCATCCTGCCGAACATGATATCCAAGCAAATAAACAAACATAATAAAAATATACACCAAGGAATACCCAAAAAAAGTCTCCAAATTTATATTTATTTTCTATTTTAGGGAAACAAAAAATTGTATGATCTTCCACTCTGAAAAGTGAACATGCCTTAAATTAAAATCATATTAAAAAAACCCTTATTCTAAAAGAAAAAGGTAAGAGATCAGTTGCGACATGGAAGAATAAAAACAACCTGCATAAAGGAGCATGAACAAATCTTTAGGAATGTAAACTTCTGTATCACGTTGTTATATGGCAAATAAAACCTGGAAGTGCAGCATTCCTAAGAGAACACCCTGCCAGCAATGCAGAGCTGCTTGGAGGGAAAACTGCAGGTTATTCTCTGTACAGAAAAAACATTCAGCAGCCTCAGTTTTCTACTATCCTGACTCTCTGGTCCCAATTGCTCCTTAACAGTCTTCAAGGAAGACTATTACCAAACCACAGCTTAGTACAGCTCTTCCTCCCTGCGAGCAAACTTATAGGTGGGCATTATTACAAATCAAATTCTTAAATAAAAGGAAAACAAAAAAAAAGGATACAAGAAATACAGACATTAAGAGATCTTGGAGGAGCACACTGTTCATTTCAGGACACTGAATCAGAATCCAAGAAACTCTTGTGTGACAACAGACCAAGTAGTAACGTAGTGAACATCAGATTAAGTCCATACAAATAAAATAATTTAACATTTGTACATTAACTCCTTAAGGCTACAAAAATTCTTCTGGATTAAGTTTTTCATCAGCTCTGGACACCTTGAGAGGCAAAATACATTTCTAACAAAATACCGTCTTAAGGATTCACAAAATCCAGCACATTTACAACTGGATCTGTACGCTATTTCCACAAGACACTCTAAACACACACTTAAATTTTAAAGTCAAATTTAGTGACACTAGCAATGAACAACAATTTCTGAAAATACGTTTTACATTTATTCACCCCTCTCCCCACCAAATTCTAGGTTTTCAGAAAGATCATTCATTTCTTAAAGTGTCTCGTCTTCCATGAAAGACAGCAGGATACAGATTCCCAAAAATTACATTGTACACAAAATTCCATTTTGTTAGCTCCCTTTGAAAAACCTTTTAATAAAGATTCACAGTTAAATTTTTCCAAGTATGCAGCTAACCAATTTTTTTAGGCCAGCACTTCCCCACTTAGAAAATACCTCAACATAAACGAAGCACAGAAAGGTTAGTTGGCATCCATCAATTGAGAAGTTTAAATGGCATTCCTACAGAATATTAGTAGTAGGTATTATTTGAAGGTAAAAAATATTCTTTTCAGGTCAGTGTGTTTGCTAGGACTTGGGAGGTTTTTTTACTATTATTTTTTTTTTTTTATTTATTAGCCTTTTTAAAGTTCTAGGTATGCCACAGAAGCAATGACAATCAAGAAATGTTTACTGTTGTACAGTGGTTTGCAGCTGTTGAGAGCACTCCTTAAATCCATGCCTAAAATGTGTTTTTAATTGAAAAGGAGAGCATTAAGGGTTTTTTTAAAACGCATTAAGAATTATTTATATTAGAAAAAATTCATATTCTCCGACTATACTCTTAGGCAGCTGCAGTACTGCACTTTCAAGTGCAATTTGCCCAGGAATTGCACATGCCTTCTAATGGCACTTCTCTCTTTACAAGTCAGTTTGCCTGCACAATGGACAAAGAACAAAAGACTGTTTAAGGACCCAGAAACACAGAGGTAAAATATATAACCTGTTCAGATAACTGATCAGTGGTATGCATCACAGATCTTGAAAGGAGGTAAATGTTTACTCAGCAGCCAGTAATAATTCTCTGGCTGTGAGATTTAGATATTGGGTGGCCATTAACATACTCAAATTTATCACCCAAGCCCCGTTAGCTATAAAAATTAATCAGTCCTTTGCCAAAGCAGGCAATGCTGCCCCCGTAAACAGCTCATCAGCTTAAGGGAACAGCAACAGAAGATGTTGAGAAACTCAGCAGGCTGGCACTTCTCATTTTTTAAGTGTCATTTAAAACACTAAAAATCAAAACCCAGTGTAGCCAGTTCTAATATACTAGAAGTCCTCTAGCTGCTATGTCTATCATATCTTAAACATGATGTTAATTTCACACTAGGATTAAAAACGATACTTCATATATTTAAGCCATAATCTCTGAAATTGGATCAAAACATTCAAGGATAAATAAGTTTCCATATTTCTTCATTAATTTAGTACTGGCAAGTGCAATGAAGTTGAAGTTTAGTACAGCTACATGCAATACAAGCTTTTCAGCCAAAAAAGCTTAAGTCAGCTTTATCAGCGTTTTCAGTGAAGGAAATAAAATCTCTCCCTGTTCCACCCTTGAGAAATATTCACAAAGATTTGTTTTCCCTTTCCAATTAAGCAGGCAACTTCTTCTTTTAACCAACCACCTATAACATTCCAAAAATCTATTAAGGTCATTTCCAACTCAGATCAGCCATTTTTCCTCTCAGGAGGACACAGAGTGAAGGTGGTAGACAGATTCTTTACTGTTCTTTCCTTGTAGAGCAAAAGAAGGGACAACAATTTTTTTTACAAGAAGGGAAAGGGGAATAGAAAAAGGAATCAAACCAAGGCTACACATGATGAATAGACAAGAGATAAGAAAAGAAAGTGCAGTACTGCATGGGAAGTTCCTAAGGCATGTAGAAGAAAGCCATGAATGAGCACCATGTGCAACACCTTAGAAATACAGAAAGCACACACCTACACCTCAGCACAACATTCAAGGTTTAACACTCATTCATGGCAGAGGAGAACACAAGGTCCATACCCAGAGTTTGTTAAGAATAAGTTGATTCTGATCATAAGTTTCATTAGGTTCACATGGATCCTGGGAGTAAAAGTCTGACCCATAATAAACTTCTGAAGCTACTTAGCAAAATGTTTCCAGAGTATCTCAGATATAAAAATAAATTCCTTGTGTCTGTCCTATTTGAGCCATAAATAATTAGTTTGAATCTATCCATTTTTTCTTCCCCACATGGTGAAAACTGTGGGCTGAGGTATTTTTGTTGTTTTCTAGTGAGATACATGTAGTGCAGAAGGCTGAGTTTTGTTCTTTTTCTTTATCTCTTGGGCATATACTTGAGAAACATCATCACAATCTACTTTCTTCTTGTAGAAAATATAACACATCTAACATGGTCTGATTATCACATTCATTAACAAATAATTAGGTGGCTTCTTATACCTTCTTTTTTGAATACAGCTTTACATTTAATATTGAACTCTACATCTCTAGACCTGTTCCTAAAACCCAGTGATTCAAGTGATTTTTAAGGAAGTCAAATAAGTGGCAAGCTACTCCATTTAATGCTAAAGCTTTTTAATTAATTTAACAGAAGATTAATTTCTAAGTTGCATAAATTAAAACCTACTTGCAGTCAGTCTCTCAGGTAGTCATTAATGGACAATTGTGGTAGTAAAATATATTTCTGAGATAGACCTAGATCTTAATACCTGTTCTGTTCCTCGCCTGCTGTAAAATCTTAAATTCATAATCCTTAATAATCCTCTTCTCTGTGCCTGTAAAACAGAAACAAATCATACCATGAAAAACAATCTCATACACTGTTTTCGGCACCAAAAATTAAGTCATATTTAAAATACTAAAATAACTTTGCAAGATTCTTTAGAGGTTCTGCAGAAAGACCTTGACAAATTAGAGAGATGGGCAATCACCAACCATATGAAGTTTAACAAGGCCAAGTGCCAGATTGTGTATCTGGGGCAACCCTGGCTGTGTGCAGGCTGGGGAATGAGAGCCTGGAGAGCAGTGCCACAGGAAGGGACTTGTGGGTCCTGTCAAGAGTGAGTTGAATGAGTCAGCAGGGACTGACTCATTATATACATTACATACAATAGATGACAGAGATTAAGGATCAGAGTGCCCAAAGAAGGCCATAAGGACGGTGAAGGGCCCTGAGGAGAAGCCGTGTGAGGAGTGGCTGAGGTCGCTTGGTCTGTTCAGCCTGGAGGAGACTGAGGGCAGACCTCACTGCAGTCACAGCTCCTTGTGAGGGGAAGAGAGGGGCAGGCCCTGATCTCTGCTCTCTGAGACAGAACCTGAGGGAATGGCCTAAAGTTGCATCAGGGCAGGTTTAGGCTGGATATCAGGAATAGTTTCTTCACCCAAAGGGTGGTTGGGCCCTGGAACAGGCTCCCCAGAGAAGTGATCACAGCACCAGCCTGACAGAGTTCAGGTGGTGTTTGGACAACACTCTTGGGCACACAGTGTGACTCAGAGTATCCTGTGCAGAGCCAGGAGTTGGACTTCATGATCTCTGTGGGTCTCTTCCAACTCAGCTTATTCTGTGATGCTCCTATTTTTAAACTTCCATAAGACTGCCTACTTTAAAATAATTCAAGCATAATAAAATCCAGTTGGTATAATTCTGTCAACTTCAGTAGGTAGACATGTCACAGAAAAGCACTCCTCATTTGCAATTAAATTAACAACTCACTTGCAATACTAAGCAATACCTATAAAAGAGTAAACACTGGAATTTATCCTGGAATATTGTAAATTTATTTCAGTATAACCAAGCTGTTACCAAATCAAACATTTACTTCTACTAGAAGCAAAAGAAATCAAGAGCCAGAATTAAACTGAAATATTTATTCCAGGTGTGCTGCCTTTTGTTCTGAAGTAATAGAAGAACAAACTAACTTTTTTCCAACAAAGACAAGTAATGTTTGCCAATGTACAACTAAGAGCAAAAAATATTGTAGCTTGGAAATTTACAGACTCCCTTCTTCTTGTTTTTGGTTTTAAAACCACAAGTGATAATTAAGAACTTAAAGTTCAAATCATACTACAGAAAAAGCAAAACCAGACAGATGCTGTGGAGAAAACGATAACTGTTCAGACAGATGTATCACAGCTTAGAAAACAGCAAAACATCACATTAAATCATCTTTCATAAAGAGATACTTATTGAGCTTCCAGTGACAATATTCATCCAGTAAAATGAGGAGACAAACTTACTGTTCTAACATCATCTTCATAACTAGTGACCTGTTTGTAATGGGGAGAGCCTGATAGAATTCTCCAAGCAGATATTCCACAACCAGCTGCTTTAGACACTCCATCTTCATCTGTTTCACAGCCTCCTACAAGGAGAAGTCTGTAAAATATGTAGAGACTCATTATGATTTCATACACTGCCACATATTTTTTAATTTTCCTAAGTCTATAGCAGTTTGTTTAGAGTAAAAAAAGGCTAAATATATCAAGATGCTTAACAGCCCCAATAAACTTTGTCTGTGAATACCCTGAAATCTAAAAAGTATCATTCAAGTAACATTTGTTATTTGTAGCATGTATACGTATTCATTCTCACCCCTAGCTTTCCAGGTAAGTCATAACTCGCAACATCTAGAATAAATCTGGCCACAAGTTTGAGTTTCTCCCACCCTCAAAAATGATAAAAAATTACTGCTTAAACATATAACAAGTTCTGATCATTCTGTTTAAGCATTAGATTCCCATTTATTCAGACATAGTACAAAAACTACTTCTCTTTCACTGAAGAACTGAACCCATTAAGGCTTGTCAATTCTGTTTTCTAAAGCCACTGTACCAATTATATATGTGCATGTAATACTTTCACTGCACACCATAGGTGGCATTTTAAAACCTTTTATGTAAGTCTCATAATTATTGCTGATCATCACTGAACTGTATCACAGTATTTGCTCTTGAAGCCCTTTCACCTTATTAACAAGCACTTCTATATTAAACTGATGACTACTTTGATGAAAACTTTGAGAATAGGTGTCTGTTGGGAAGTATCGTTGTAATGAGTCACCCATCAAAAGGTAAAGTATCTACAATAAAAGGCACAACTGCAGGAGCCCAAAGCTCCTCCCTAGGAATGCTGCATTATCCCTTCCCCAAGGCCGCACCATTCCCGAAGTGCTCTGCCCCCTGTCAGCAGCTGCAGCTTGCACAGCGCAGCTCTGGCTGCCAGGGATGCCAAAACTACACCTGCAAAAGCCAAAAAAAGAATAAAGGGAAAAAAATTCCTTCCACATTTAATCATTTTTAAGACATCAGTAAAACTTATTTAGTATTGTCATGTCTCCTGCTAGTCACAAACATACATCAGGATGACTTTATACCATGGATGAATGACAGAATCACATCATCAGGCTGGAAAAGAACCTCTGAGATCATCAAGCCTAACATACAACCAAACACTACCATGTCAACTAGACCAGCTCAAGGCATGGTGACTCCATCGCTTCCCTGGGCAGTCCATTCCAATATCTAATCACCCTTAATGTGAAGAAATTCCTCCTGATGCCCAATCTGAAACTCCTCTGGAACAGTTTAAGCCTCATCTTCTTCAATGTCTTCCTGGCTCCTTGCGAGAGGAGGTTGACCCCCACCTGGCTACAACCACATTTCACGTAGTTGTAGAAAGTGGTAAGATCTCTCTTGAGAGTGGTGCTTGAAGTTCTTAAGAGTTTTGGTTATTCTATGGTGTAAGAATAGCCTACAGCACTAAAACAGAAGTTACTTTCACCAAAAACTGCAACAGGAGACATGAAGATAAGGAATACTAATTTGTTTTCTTGCACATGTGTTCTACACACAGCACAGCCAACATGCAGCAGTTTCCAGGATTCATTTCTAGATCCTTAAATACCTGCATACTTCTAGGACCATCTGAGGACTCCTAAGACCATGAGAGGATTCCTGGAAAGCCTTTGAGGAACTGCACAATGTTTGTCATTGATAAGAAGAGCTAGCTAGCATGCTTTAGAAGCTTTTAGCAAGGTTTGCCAGCTGTTCCTAATCAAAGGGTGATTTGAGCTTTTACTGCAGATGGACACCTGATTAGCACGGGTCAGGAACCCTTTCAACAAAACCTGGAAAAAGACCTATGTAAATGCCAGGCCTAGAGTGCACCATTTTGCAGAAAAAGATGGCCAGAACCAGTCTTTGTGTATGATGTAAAAAAATCACAGAGATGTGCTGCCAGGCTCAGTCTCCAGTACCCTCTGGAGCAGCTCCCCAGCACCTCAGAGTCCTTGACACAGACCATGCTCCTAAGGGAGGACACAGATGTGCAGGTCTTTGACTTGCAGTGACATGGCTCCAAGCAACCTCCTCTAGCTGACCCCGAGGTGAAGGTGAATGGATTAGATGATCTCGAAGAGTACCTCCAGTCTCAAAAACTGGCTGCTCTTGCAGTACCTGAATTGTACCCCACTCCACAGGTTTATACAAAGTTGGGTTGAAGATAACCAGTGTAACATCAGTCTCAAGAACAAGCTCAGTTGAGTTATCCAAGAAAACCTTGACAGGCAGTTCTTTACTTAGCAATTTTGGTACAAAAATTTTAAATAAATCTGAAGCTTCAGTGATGATTGGGGGCTTGTGATGAAGGGCTTCATCACAAGCCCTTCAGTGCAAACTTTATGCTTTAACATCAAACATTTTCTGCAGCAATTGCAGATAATCCAGAAATTATACATTCAGCTCCAGATTAAGATACCAAAACAAGCAGCTGTTGAACCTTGGATTTGACTTTATAAAGAGCTCACACTAAAGCAGACATTTAAGTTTTGTCAACTAAAATGCACCATAAACTCCATCCTAGATGAAAGCAGGATCACGTGAGAACGCCAATATTAGGTATCTAAATTAAGGTATATAATACTTTTCAAAACCAGTAAAAGTCATTATTGGATTTTTTCCCAAAGCTATAGCTCTAAGTTTTCCTACAGATTCAGAAATATTCCCTACTGACATATTCTCTTTGCAACTATCCTACAGCTAGTTGAAAAAATTAAGTAAATTAAGTTCTTAACTGCTATTTTATTGCACTGTAATGGGCCATGAGCAAATACACAGTAATACCGTAATGCAGCAACTCGAGCCTTACAAGCAATGAAGAGAGATCAGCAAAACTTCACCACCTGAGATTAAGTGAAATGCAAGAAAGCACAAAATGATGAAGTTGAACTTGCGTTAAATGATCAAACACATTACTGAAAATTAAAACTTTGAGGTGTATCAACAATTTTCTTTAATGCACAAGTTTGAAGTACTTGTGTTCAAGCCCTTCTAGGCTTTTTTGGGATAACAAGAAAATTTCAGCAAGAGACTCCATCCACAAATTTGGAATTCTCCAATGTCAAATTTACAAGGTTTCTACCAGAGACTAAATTCAAAAACAGAAAAGACTTGCATCCATCAGGGGCAAAACACCAGTTGTTTTTTGTCCATTCCATCCAATTGTCCATTCTTTCAAGTGTCAATTTTTCAACTTTACTAAGTCACTCAACAGGTTGCACATAGCAGGAACTGCTACAACCATTAACCCTGGTCTGATGAAAGGAAACACTGGGTTGATTCTGCTGTCTGTCACGTAGTGCTACCACAGCTCCATAACCCACAACTATTACCTCAAAACTGTAAATTTAGTATACTGAGTATTAATTATGTGAAATCACTAAATATTAATTAGGTGGAAAGAAAAAGCCATATATAAAATTAATCTCTCAAAATAATAAGGTAGAAGAACATTACATCCCATTAATAATAAACTGTTTTCCTAAGAGAGATATGACAGCTCACTTAATACTGAAGAATGAGAAGAAGTTTTTTCAAAGTGAGTTTCTTCTGGTATTTTATATCCAAGCCTAATTTCCATTTAAAACAATACAGTGATATAACACTGCACTAAAAGATTCAATCCTAGCAGATCTAATACAAGAAAAATATCTAGAATAAAGTTTAGTTCCTACAACTGAAGAGAAATAGAAATAGAGTTGTTGAGTTTCTCCTGGTACGTAACAAATTGACACTAAAAAAGTAGACCCATTTTTGGCATAAGTAATAGGTTAACCAGGACCTATTCCAGTTACATTGGGTTCAAGAGCATGCAGGCAGGCAGTCCACATTTCAAGTCCAGTTTCTGTACTCAACAGGTTACTAATAGAGAAAACACATCAAAAGACAACTCCAAATACCCAAGCCTGGCAGTTCCACTCAGAACACTAGGGAAAATGGGCTCGGCAATAAGTCCAGCAATGAATTTCAGACAGAAAAACAAAACAAAAACAAACAAACAAACAAAAAACCCACACAAAACAAAAAGAAAAAAAAACCAAACTAAATTTATCCTTCAATTTTACCCATCTTTCACCACATTCAGAAACCTCTTTTGAAGCTATTCCTGACATTCTAAAAAGTGCATGTTGCTTATCCAAGGTACTCAAACAGAAAAGGACATAATTTTACTAATGAAATAATGAAAGTTAAGTGAGAAGAACTAAGGTTCCTCTTCCATAGTAGGAAGAGACATGACTTGTTATTACTGATGCCCTAAATACCAATTTTAGCAAGAATAGATTTTCCTCCCCCTCCCTGCCCAACACACTTCAATGCTTACTTTTGCCACTTTTTGTTCATCATTTACATACCAATGTCAGGTAGCAAAGAGAACGCTTACCTGTGACCAGGATGATAAATGACAGTTGTTATCCCATGGGCATAGTGGCTGCCAAAGCTGAAACTATGACTTTCTTGAAAGCTTTGATTTGTTCCAACACTAAGAATGCCGGGAAAAAAAATATATGTGTTACTTCAGATTTATTTTCTTTAAAGAGTAGAAAGAATTCCTTTGAAGTTCACTGTGCCATCTCAAAGCAAGTCACAATTTATGCTTACCTTACAAGGTAACTTCTCAGTTCTCCACGATAATTAACAACAAGGAGTTCAGCTGACCACTGGGCACTTGCTTTGTATTCTAGAAAGATCAATCCAGCAATAGCGTAACTCAGATCGCCTGGAAAACTTGCTGTCTTTACCCAAAAATGAGGGTAGACATTGGGAGAGAAAGGGGATTTTTTAAAAAGTGTCTTTGTTACTGAAAGAACTAGAATGTTAAATTGTCTTGTATTTTAAAAAATCATGTTTCAGTTAAAACTAAAAACATTTGCTTTTATCTTGATAATAAAGAAATTGTATTATTACAAAGTTTGCAAAGACAATATACTGAGGAAATACACTTGAGCCACCTTCACAAACCAGCTCAATACACCCTTTGAAACACAAAATAGAAAATACATTGTGTGGGGCCTGTCAACAGCAATTATGTAATATCATACCAAGCAAAGTACTCTAGCAGAAACATTTCTTGGTTTACAATTTGACTGCATACAAAGTGCAGACTTATTTTCTATTACTACAAATTGTGGTGATTCCGTACTTCCACTGCCTGACGCACCTACAGATGCACCAAAATTCAAGATAGATGTAAAACATATGCTTTTATGCTGTTGTAAGGGCTACACATGACTTTTATTGATCATATGGTGGATGTATTATAGTGGAACTTTTTATGGTCCATTTCTGTGTGGTATTCATAGTGTAAGCATTTATAGCAAACCAAGCCATGATTTAAAAAAGGTCAGAAAGTGGAAATTATCCATGATCCTTAAAAAAGTTCTACTATATTTGTATTTAACCCAAGAGAGCACATACCGGTGAAATGACCAAAAGCTCACTACCCATCAGGTCAAACACTCTGACTGTTCCACTGCTTTCAGCATAAGCAAGTAATGTACAATCATGACTCCACGCCACTCTCCTCCACTGAGGGTTAGGATCCTTTGGCACTATGAAAAAATAACAAAATTATTAATAAAAGCAAAAAATAAATATAAACCCTTAAACAGAACAAAAAAGTCAATTGCATCAAAAAAATGCAGGGGGTCTACCAGCATTACAAGCTTATCTCAGAGGAAGGTAAAGAAAGAAAAACATATGTCTCCCAGAGCCATTAATTCTAACTATCATTTCATTACAAATTCAGGTTTCATATATTCATCATAGAAAGAAGTGGCAGAGAGAGGGTAACGGAGCTAGTTACAAAGCAAAACTATTAAGAGATTCTTTCGAGTGATTTTAAGAAGTTAAAGTAAACCAACACCACCATTTAGCAATGTATGAATAACAATGATGACACTAATAATGAAGAGGTTGACATACCTTGACATTTTCCAACTATGGATACAAAGTCATCTTTTGCAGACCTGCAGAAAAAAGACTCGTATGACTTTAGATACAAAAAAAACACTATTCAATTTTCTGTAAAAGAACACTAGAAAAATATTCCAAAAGCACAATTCAAAGACCTGCATGCCTCTAACTACTTGTTCAAAAAAGCAGATAGTAACTTTCACCCTCTAGGCAGCTACAGTAACTAACTGTATTTTAGAGACCCTCCAACTGCATAAATACCAACATCCCTCATTTATTTGTAATGTTGTACAAAATAGGACAGCATCATTTCAGTGTTTCATATAACTTTAGGAAAAAAAAAAACTAGTCAGTATTCTCTAGGTTACAATTTTAGAAACAATGCAAGAATATAGTTACATTAATACACTTGAAACACAAGATTTATTTTATAGTCCTTAAGCTGACGTTTATGGTGCTCACACCACTTCTGATTGAACAATTTTCATACACTTGCTTCTTTTACATATAAATGGAAGGTCTGACCTTCTAGCAAATGGATTTTTGTGAAGCGAGTAAACACACTCAATCAAGATCTGTTCTACAGCTAAATGTGCTCTTGAACTGGCAAAGGAGAGCTTGTTCTTAAGAGAGCACAAGAAAAGGGAAAGCATCAGTCTTTATAGCAATCCACACCACTTGTAAAATAAGGTGAAGTATTATACATGCCAGCTACTCCTCAGAGAAGAACACTATGTACTAGCTCCTTGTCCCATTTCTTAGGGGAGAATTTCTAGAGGGTGCAGAAAGGCAAAGGTTAGAAAGACCATGATTTGTGCTGAGTGTTTCTGAGGATCTTGGTTGCTTTTCTTTCACATCTTGAAAACACAGAGATACAAATATATACTTATATCAACACCTCTATTATAATGGGGAGGGAGGTCAAGGGCGTTTATGTTGGGTTTGCGTTTTGGGTTTTTTTTTCAATGGGGGATGGCTGAGAACTAAAAAGAAACATAAAGCTCCTGCTTTTATGATCATTCCATGGATAAATTTCACAATATACAACATTACAAAACAAAAAAAGAAATCTGTAAAAGTATTGCTAACAAATGACCAGAAACACTTTCTCAGAACTCCAGAGCTGAAGTAACAGATAATGCTAAGTTACCTGATTTCTACACATTGGTCTTGAACAACTGCCAACAATTTACCATTGCTGAAAGAAAAAACAGATGTGAAAGTTCATTTAAAGTCCACTCCTTACAGAATGTGCATCAGAGTACAAGGTGCTTTTCTCTACTGTTAGATATAAATTGCCTCATTTAAAAATTTTAACAAGAAATTAAAAAGGGAAATATCAATTTTTATTTAAAATAAAATATCCATGTCAAGATATTCCTTCCATTTCAGAGAAATCTATCTGCCACTCCTTTCCAGCAGCACTAAAAAAACAGCACAATGTCTAAAATCCCACTGCATAGGAGGTCAGAGTATGATGTTGTTTACAGATAATTTTACAACAGCAATGTACACAACCATGTGTTGCTTTATCTGGTATAAACAATCATAATTCACTAAGTTATGTGTCTTTGCATGCAACATAAACTAAAACTTTCCCTACTACCTTCATGTAACCATGTCACTGAACCACTTTTCTGTGCTTACTTTTAAAAGCCAGTGATCTCACTGATGTTGCTAAAATTCCTGCAGAACAGTTGGTTCTAGTCTTGGAACTCTCTGTTTATGCAATAGCAGACAGGTCTTGAGGGTATGCATTCACTTTCCACAAATATAAATCGGTTATTTTAAAATTACATATCCTGACAACTTGTAAGTCTTTAATCAGCCAAATTCAGGACTTGAATTTGAAAATGACTGCAGTGCAAGCCACTTTGCCCCGAAAGCTAGACAGACATCCGGCCCTGAGTGAGAGGTGCACTAACTGAGAGAAGCAGGTAGAAGCCCCTAGGCAGCACACAGAGGCCACCTGTGAGAGCCTCCAGTATTTCTCTTGACCAGAAAGAACAGCTCATCTTTAGCACAGTATCAACTCAGCATGGCTGAGTGGGGAAGGTGGGGGAGCAGAGGAAGCATTAATACATTCACTCCTGTCAGAAATGGCAAAGTATGGGAGCTGGTTACCTTGCAAGTACGAGGTGCCAGTTGATCTGCTTACTAACCAGACGAACCAGTCCAGCGGGCAGAGAAAACTTTGCAGGGCTGAAATACCAAAACATCAGGCTCAATCAGAACACACAGAGAACCAATGCAGCACCTGAGATACACACGCCAGACAACTCAGCTTCAAGGCAACCATCAATTACCCGAGAGGGTTTGCAACTGAACATGAATCAACACTGCACCCTGCCAACGACAAAGGCTAACAACAGTCTTGTTTTTGCTAACAGAAGAAAACTGCATAGTAAGGGAACTGATCACTTCTTTATCACTCTTGACACACTGGTCACCAGCCAGTTTTGGTACACGCACTGGAACACCACCAGCAAACCAGAGGGGCACCAAGATGATCAGGGGATTGGAGTACTTGCCCTACAATAAATCAGATGCTGTGGGAATTGTATGTGTTTAGCCTGAAGAAGGGAAGGGTTCAGGATGACAAAACGGCAGCATTCTCATTGATACCTAGGAGACTACCAGGAAGATGGGAGCAACAGAGGTGCATGGCTGGAACACAACAAACTAAGATCAACCCTTTGGAGGACTTGGAAGTGCTGAGGTAACAGTTGGACTCAATGACTGTAAAGGTCCTTTCCAGCCTAAATGTCTCTGTAATTTCAAAAGCAGGGAGGCTCCAAGATGACATTAAGAAGAGATTTTTTTCACCATGAAGACAGTCAGGCACTTGAACAGGCTGAGACTCTCTGGCTTCTCAATCCTTTAACCTTTCCAAGATCTAGCTGGATAGAGTCCCAAGGAACCCAGTCAGAATTCAGTGTTCTCCTGCTTTTAGTGGGACTTTAAACTAGAGGCCTCCCAAGCTCCCTCCAAAACTCTTTTATCAAATACATGAAAACAGCAACTAGAATAAAAACTAATTTCAAGCTTTTATCATTTAACTATGACTACTGGAGGGAGGGAAGAAAAGTAAGTGAATTCTGTCTATGACTGATTCTTACAACTAGACTCACATGTCAGTATGTTGCCCATAAACATCACCCCTCATGAGAACAGGGGTGGGGGAGTAGGTGCACAAAAATAAAGTAGAACACCAGCAATAGGGAAAACAGCATTGTCTGCCAAATTCAAGTACAGTACTGTTTCACAGGAAGTCCCATTAATGTCCCTTTCCACATAACAGATCATCCCTTAAAACGGGAAACTGTTATCTTCAAACCTGCTGAGCCATATAACCACTGAGCTGAAATTTTCCAGAAATGTTGTACTTACCCCAATAAATTTCTGGGACCATTTCATTACTTTTTGAACCAAAACTTAAATTTATAAATGGCATGAGTGCTGCTCAAATAGTTACCAAGCTTTTTGTATGAGCTTGAATTGTCAAGGAAAAAAATTCAAAATTATTACTCCAAAGAAAGCAAACCCTGTCATGCCATCATATCTGTCACTGAGGCTTAAGAAAAAACCTCACAACAGCTTCCTCTGCAGTACCTCAGCTAGGAGTGGAAAGGACAAATATGTGTTTGGAGAAACCTGTTCCAACTGCAATCTTACTTCAGCTTCTGAGAAAAGCATGAAGTCAAACTAGTACATACAATCTTCTTCTATTCAGACTTCAGCTGCAACTCAATTTATGAAAAGTGGCTATTCTAAGCATTCCTTGGACAATATTCTAAAGAAGTGTTCTGTTTTACTCCCATTAGGAATTACTTTCCATCAAATCAAAATCCATAAAAATATTACCAAATATTTTTGCAGTATTCTTGTAAAACCTACCTGTACCAGATGTACCGAAGCAAAAACAATGCAGGACCTATAATGGAAAGAGGTAAAAATTACACCTCTAGTAGTCTTAAAACCTACTCCAGCTTACTGCACAGGGAATCTCAATTCTCATTAAAGAAAACGGTATTGAGGGAAAAATCCTTTATACTTGGCAAACAAATTCTAATGTTAGAATAAATGCAAATGGCAAATAAAAAACAAACTAAACAAACAAAAAAAACAATCCACTGCACATTTTTTTCACTGCCATTTAACACTTGATTTATGCAATGCCATATCATCAGAATCTAAAAGTTCCTCATAGAACTAACTAGCAGACAACCTAGTGCAAGAGATGTTAAGAAAGGGGAAAAAATACAGTTTGCAAAATACAATTTGCAAAACACAGAGCTTGTTAATTTCTAAGATGTATGGTTCATTAGTTTGTCCCCACAAACCAATGGAGACAAGAATGCTCACAAAACTGACATAAAAATAACACAGCCAAGTTCACAATCAGAAAACATCTTCCTGAAAACACATGCTGTACTCTACTTCCATTACTTCCATCATTAGGCACTCTAAAGGGCAGAAATTGTAATTTACAAGTAATCCACACAGTCTTAGAAGTAATGAATGTAGGAACAAGAAATATTTACCTGCAATTGCTCTAGTGATGATAAATGATGCACCATGTGTTCTGTTGCCTCTTGGCTGCAATTACAACAATAATCATCAGACAGCATGTCACACATTTTAACTTAAATACAATACTCATACATACATTCACTGATTAAGTTTAAGTTGGTTCCTAGCCTTCAAGTTCTTTATGTACTTTCTATTACTCACCACTTCATATAACGTCTACTTTAACTGCATAAGCTAAAACAGGCTATAATGCCAAATAATTTAAATGCCAAAATGCAATAAACAAAATGTGCTACAGATTGTCTATTGATTCAGCTTTGCCTCAATCTTTGGGTAGTAACAAAAGACATTGCCTTCTGATTATGTTCTCCTGTAAGCTATTAGAAATCATTCTTTTTATGCCAAATAAATGCCACAATGATCTGTAATGCCTAGCAGTCAAAGTACTTGGTGTACAACATATTATGCTATATCTAAGTGCTAAGCTACCTAAAGATTGCTCAAGAAAGTTTCAGAAACATCAAGAAAAACAAACTATTTCTGAAAAAGCCCCCCTTTTACATCAATTTGTATTATGTAATGTGGCCACTCAGATAACCACCTATACTCCATAGCATCTCACACAGCCTTTCCACCTGCCCTGACCTGCTTTAGGCAGAGGGAGCAATTAAAGCCACTACACAAATGAAAGCACTCTCCAAACACAGAAAAAGGAATACAAAACAACACAGGATATATTTTCTTATCTATAAGAGGAGATAAAATTATTTGTCAGTAAGAAAAAAGATACAAACTGAGAAGAGAACAAGGACAACCAATAAGGAAGGATCCACAAACAAATCCTCAAAATAAGCAATCATGCTTATACCTTTCTAATGAGAATATCAGAGCACCACAAACTGAGTATTAGAGTAGGCAATGACTGAATTTTCTCTTCCATTCAATATAAAATACATAGACCAAATTTCTCATTAACTGAAATATTCAGACCTCACCAAGTTACAAGGCAGTAAACTCTGAAAGACATACAAATTTATCAACATTCTGCAGTATGTCTATGCTTAAAAAATAATATTTGGGCTCCCAAATTTAAATTATTAAAGTAAAGATTAGTTTTCCAGGCAAAGTTTGCAATCCATAAACAGTCTTTCAAATAACCAGGCTGTCATCTCACAGCATGTAAGAAGCAAACACAGCTGTACTAATAGATAACATTCCACATTCAGGTTGATCAGCCAGGAAATAACAAGGCATTACAGTAAAATAAGTGAGAGCATAAATTATTTCTTACAGCCATTCTAGTACCTTAGGGAGAGCTGAATTTCCTAGGGACCTTAAAAGCAGAGCTTGTTAAAAGTTTTTGGATTATGAGGAAGTTCCCAGTAAAAACTATTTCCTAAAACTGCTTACATCTCTTTAGAATTTTTTTAACATTTGAAGTGTCTGCTCCTGAGCCTAAACTACAGGCTGCTATTCCACATATCTTCAACACTTCACAAAACTGATTTACTGTTATATCCTGAATACCTGAATTTTACTTTTTATAATATATTCCTATCATTTCAGCTATAGCAATGGTTACCAAATATGCTGTAGTTCTTTTTTAATTCATTCCTTCTTGGGAAAACAACTTCAACTTCTCCTTCCCTATAGCGGTCCAGAAATAAAATCTACGTAACTTTCTTGCTGACAAGACACCTTCTTAGTTTTAGATTTTATTGCATACTCTGCAAGCTTACTGGGGGGACAGCAGCCGGTGGGTGTTGGGGAAATCTCAAAACACTAAACTGTAATGGAAAAAAACCCCACAAGACCAGGTGATACATTTTGGAAAATAAATTGAAGAAAAGCGTTCAATCTCCTATATTTCCATAAATCATTTCACAAGTCCTCTCTTGCAACCTCGCCCACAGCCACTGCCTCATTCACTATTTTCATGGATCTACTACTCAGTAATTACTTTTATTCTCATTATATATTTCAGTGTTCTCAAACACTGCATTATATACAATGGCATCACTATCCTGAACACAGACTGCTTGATTTCCACACCACTCTCTTCCCTGATGTAGTCAATTCCTGGTGTGTTTCCTTCACAAATAACTGCTATAACCGCCCCTGCCATTCCTCGTCTCCCCCCAAAAAAACTCTTACCAGAACATTCAGTACAGGTGAATGACAATACTGACAAAATTAAAATTAAAGCAAATTTGGGCATTCAACCTGAGAGACCCATGCCAGTTTCATCAATGTCTTGAATTTGAACATGATTTTACATGTTCATCACAAGACTCATCTTCCAGTAATTAGAGCTCTAAGTTCTAGTACTCTGCAATTAAAAATTAAACATCCCAAATGAAAAAACAGAAAAACAGTCAATTAAGATCTGTAAAAGTTTAAGGTCTGGCTTTGTAGCCTAAATTACTGCATAGGAAGACAATTAAATTCATTTCCCAGTGCAGCATTCAACTTTCTTTCCCTTTCCATCATTCCTTGCCTAACCTATTCCAAAAGATTCAGTTCTACAAGAAGAGTGTGAAAAAAACAGGATTAAAAGAGACAGATGTTCCAAAGAGAAAGCCACCTAAGGACACTTAGTCTCTCAGGACAATCACCTAAGTAATATCACTGTTAAGACACCTTAAGGCAAAAACTGACTCATACTGACAAAAAAATCTGTTTGCCTATGTTGTCAGTGTAAAATCAATTTCCCACTAAAATGGTAAAAAGACTGTCAGAAGTGCCCTTGAGTACTGACAGTTTCCAAGAAGAATGTAAATCCAAGCAAACTATACAGCATAGTATTTTCAAATCTTCCAACTTCTGCTATTGAAAACAGGCATATTTAAAATAAATAGGCAAGAAACACCAAGTTTAAAATAACCAGCACCATCTGCTTAAGCTGACAAGCAGAATTCAGCGATGCTTAGAAATCCTGACTACCAGGGCAGATGAGGACCTTCAGACTGGTTACACAGTCACTTTAAATTGGCATCCCCACATGCTGCCACTGAAGGGAGGTGTCACCTCACTGACACACCATTCACAGCCCCCTCGGTACCTACAGGGGTATTAAAGGGACCACTGAGCAAAAGGAGATGAGACAACACGTTGATTCTCAGACTAATCACTTCTTTAATCAACTTACCATACAACCTCAGGAACGCTAATGGCAGCAGAAAAGGCACTTGTCAGAAATGTGCCCCCTTAACTCGGCTGCAAAAGAACCACAGCCTTGTGTCATCATACCTAAGTCGTCCTCATGGTTTGCAACAGGAAATTTGTTTCCATATGCTACTAAAAACAAAGACTATTTACCATTTCTCAAAACACAGTTGAATTAAAATAGGTTCAACTATCAATTCATCTGTACAAATAATCTATTAAGCTAATAAATGGTAATACTGCAATCATGTTTTTCCAAACACCCATACCTGTTGCTGAAACTGAGGATTTACAGATCAAGAGCAACAGCAACAAAAAAATCTTTCTGATAAATGAAAACCTATTCTTTTGACCATGGCTCTAGTAATTTTTTACAGGCACATTCTCCCACTTGTGATGTTTTTACATATTTTCTATTCAGTTTTTCTCATTAGGCATAAAACTTTGTTAAAATGCTTCTATTACCAACTTTCAGGGGGAAATAAATTAAAAACTTCAGTGGACCTAAAAGCCACTACAAGAAAGAAACAAAACCACATTGCTTGCATCCTCTATATCCAAATCAGACAAGCAGACATAGATGCAGCAAGCTCAGCACACTGCAGTGGAAAACATGAAAAAGGTAAGATGAAAGAGCTTCTCAGCCCTTCTGGTGACCTGGGAAGAAGAACAGCTAAAAATAACTAAAAACCTGCAGTACAAGAACAGTTTTTTCTGATTTCTTAAGCGCTAGGTTAACAAATCAGAAATGGCTATTTGTGTGCGTTGTGGACATAAAGTGAAATATTTTTCCCTTTTACCCTACTCCTGCAAATACAGACACAACTGTACTGATAAAGGAGTCCAGAAAGAAGATCTGATTTTCCTCGTACAAGGTAAACTCAACCAAGATCCTATTTTCAGCAGCACAGACTCCACAGCTCTCCGTACAGTAGCTTCTAGAGATGAGACCTGGGCTTCATTCAGCATAACTTCGCTTGTGCCAGCTCAACAGTAAAATCCCATACAGATTGCTCAATAAGCAAGAAACACTTCAGGGGATCCCAGGCGGCATAAGCCACGGTGGGGAGTAAGTGACGCGAAAGCACAAGGGGACAATGGTGGCACGAACAGCCCGTGTGCCCGCCAGGAACAGCGCGGGCATCCCGCTGAGCCTCCCCGGAGGCACCAGCGCATCCCTGCGGCCCCCGGGGCGCTGCCGCGTCCCTCCCGCGCCAACGTGGCCGGTCCCCTCCCCCGCCCGCGGCCGTGCCACGGCCACACGCACCTGCACCTCCGTCTCCGGCGGCCACTCGGTGTTGACCAGCAGGTCGTACAGGATGTTCTCCTCCCCGTCCTCCGCCTGCTCGCCGGCGCCGGCCATGCCGCGCTCCCGGGGCNNNGCCATGCCGGGCCGCGCCGCCCTCCCCGCGCCGCCACAGCGACGGCGCCCGGCGGGGGCCAAACGGCTCCGCCTTTAACTCGTGCGGCGCCGGCCCGGAGCGGGCGGGAGCTTGGGCTGGGAACGCCCGGTGCAGGCGAGATCTCTGGGTGTGGATCGAGCCCTTACCGAAGAAGGGTAAAAAATTGGGGAAAAGGGGGCTTTCTCGCAAGTGGTTCTTGCAAATTCAGTGGTGCTACGTAGGACTTCTAAATATTTCAGTCCTACAAGTATGAGTTCCTAGCATTCAGCTCTCTCAAGCAGATAAAAAGTTTGTTTGTAAATTCCGGGCCCCTCATATCAGGAAGGACTTTGAGGGGCTGGAGTGTGTCCAGAGAAGGACAGGGAGCTGGGGAAGGGTCTGGGGTACAAGTGTGCTGAGGAGCGCCGAGGGAGCTGGGAGTGTTTGGCCTGGAGAGAAGGAGGCTCGGGGGAGGCCCTGACGCCTGAAAGGAGGCTGGAGCCGGGCGGGTCAGTCTTCTCCCTGGCAAGAAGCAACAGGATGAGAGGACAGGCTTAAGCTGCACCAGGCGAGATTCAGGTTGGACACCAGGAAGGATTTAGTCACAAAAAGAGTTGTTAAACATTGAAATGGGCTGCCCAGAGAGCTGGTGGAGTCACGGTCCATGGAGCTGTTTAAGGGAAGACTGGACATGGCACTCAGTGCCATGCTCTGGTTGAGCAGGTGGTGTTCCATCACAGGCTGCACTCAGTGATCTCAGATGTCTTTCCCAACCTGGTTCTGTGAAATAATTTTGAAAGAACTGATGTTTCAGCCTCTTTCCTGCAACTTTATAAAGCATTTGTAAAATAGAAATAAAATTACTTCACACACTGACACTTCTGTTCCAGCAGTCTAATTTTCGCTTGTGTTAGTAAGCTCTTGTAGGCAACTCTGTAGCCTAGAATTAGGTTAAACAAAAATTCAGATTCTGAAACTAGGGATTCAGGGCAATATGAAACCTCTGTTGGATGCTTGGGAAAGACTTCAAGAAGAAACAACTACAGAGAAAAAAATGCCTTTTTACTGTGTCGCTATTTTAAAACTATATTTGACAAGGTAGCTTGTAAAGCAATAGTAAATAGTACAACATTGTGTTTGTAAGTTTCAAAGAATTGTGGGAGATATATAGTAAATTACACTCTACTAAGCAGCACTATATATTGTTGTCAAGGTCTGCCTACAAACAGGTTTTCTTAGAGTTGTGGTTGAATCTGTACATTATTCATATCTGTGCCTTTAAAAAAACACTCGTTTTGTCATTTATCTGAAACCAAGCAAACTAATGATTGACAGATATAGCAAATGATAGTGAAAGAAAAGAGGCACATCAAAGGAAGATAGTCCCAAAGAAATTATTAATGCATGAGAAACCATTGCAATGCAAACAGCCTGGTATGAGAGGTATAAAACACCCTGCTGTATTTTTATCTGCATGACACCAGTTTCTACAGAGTAAGTTAACAGCTAGTAGGGCTCAGCAAGTTTTAAAAAAAAAGTCTTGAAACAAACCACCGGGACAAAACCAGTATTCGAATTGCAACACAGTACTCAAGAGAGCTACTACATTGCAGAGTTAGTCGTTTTGGGGTTTGTTTGGCCTCTGAACCAGATGTGTCTCTATCTTATGCTGCCTTCAGAAAGACAGAAGCTGTGTTTCACAATGGAAAGCAGTGGGCAATAGTTTATGCTGTGCCTTCCCCTTAGCAGACAAATGCACCATTGGCTCCTGATGTAACTCCAGAAGCTGCACTTCTGCACTAGTAATCTCATTTTGTTTTTTTACAAAGCCCCGAAAGTTCTTGCGTTTAATGGCACTAGAAGTTACCCCAGAACAAGATGGTGCAGAATTTGGGGAAGCTTCTGCAAAAACTGGAGAATAAAGTGTCCTTGTTAGGGTATATCAGCCACATCCCGCGGTGCGTTCGAGTCTCTGAGGCGCCTCGAGCCATCACTACCCGGGGGCGCTCACGGGCCGGGCCGGAACGCGCGGCGCGGCGGCTCCTGCGCCCGCCCGGCCTCATAAAGCGGCGGCCGGGCTTTGCGCCTGCGCTCTGCGCTGCTCGCGGCGCTCCCGGGGCGAAGATGGCGGCGTTCTCGGGTACGTGGCGCGGGGGCTGCGGCCTCTCGGCCCTGAGGGGACCTCTCGCCTCTGCCCGCCGGCTCCCGGGCTCCCTGCGGCGCCGGGGGGAGCTCCTCGGCCGCCCTTCCAGCCTGGCCTGCGGTAGTGTGTGGCTGACCATATGTCAGGCTGGAGGTTGTGAGGCCTGCGGGGGATGTAGGTGCTTCTCCCCGTGTCCTCGGGCTTCTGTAGGCTGTGAGAAGTGGTTATCGGAATGGTTTTGCAGGTTTTATTGCATATGTGGATCTAGCAAAGGGACTGCTTAAAAGTTAGGCTCATTCCTCATGCTGACTGGTTTCAAGTAATAGGAGGTTTATCATAACTGTTCTCTGTATAGCAGTGCATAATAACTGGCTTTTGGTAAGAGAAGCTCTGCTTGGTGATACGGTTTAGCAAGCTATATATTATATAAACTATATATGTGTATATAATATAAACTGTAATCCAAAAGCTTACTATTAAAGGAGGAAGCATCAATCTTTGTGTCCCCTTCCCCATGTAGATGTTTGTAAAACTAGGCAGCCAGCCAAGATCACGGTTCGGTAAAGTTTTAATGTATATGGGGTTTTTAATTTGTCCCTTTAACTGAACTTTTTGCATCTTATGATGGGGGAAAAATGGTGAAGCTTCGTCCTGAGAACTAGTGGTCAGTTTGGATGCTAGGCAGCAGGGTTAGTTTGGATGTAGTTGAGGAAAATGTCATGGTGTCATTGTTTGATTAAATTCTTGTGCCTTATATTGAATTAAACTGTGTGAGTTGGAAGCATATGGAAAAAATATGTATGGATTTGTTTCCAACTTGGAATTAGTAGGAATTGATTTTGATTGCTATTGATTTTGTTGCTTGTGTGGATTGTCTACTTTTGTAGGATTAGAGTCCAGCACTTGAAAATAGTAAAGCTTCCTGCAATCACATTACAAATAAAACACTTTTCTTACAGTATTTGCATTATAGGAAGTGGAAGAATAATTTTTGGCTGTGCACATCCCCCTGCAGCAGCCCAGCTCAGTGTGTGTGCATGTGCATGCTGTGTCTGAAATCCAGCGTGTGGGAGTGCAGAGGCCAGTGTGTGAGACCTCTGCTTGGAAAGGTGCATGTTTATAGCTGAAGGAATTGATTTAGAGTAACCTTATGTACCCAAAGAGATGACCAACAGCTAAATTGTTATTTTGATGGTGTGCTACTAGCATTTGGGTTGCTTAGGATCCACTTTACTCTTGTCTGTATTGGATAGCTGCAGATTTCTTTTGTTTTCCTTTTGAAATGCAGAGGATTTGTTTATCAACATAGCAGCATGTTGCTCCATATTTATCTTGTCTTTGAGGTACAACCATCAGACTTTGATATGCGTTTGCCAGAAGGGGTATCCAAGAAAAAAAACTGTTAAAAGTGGATGTAATTAATAACTATCAAAACCAATGCCTTGTCTTCTTATTGTCAGGCAAGATTTGGTGAACTAGAGTCCCTATAGGATACAGGTTTTTTCTACTGTTTGCACCCCAGCTGTAGAGAAAGTTGGATATTTGTGAGTAACAGTCTGCCCTATTGTCTGCATAGGCAGTTGCCTTAAAGGTGCAAAGATAAGTACCTTGCCCTTGAAATGGTGCTCTGTTCCCAGTGTGTTCGCTTTGCTGCTCTGTCTGTGCCTGCCCTGTGTGTGCCTGACTTACTCTGCTCTGGGTGGGGACAGCTCTCAAAGCTGCCTCTGAGGAAGGGAGAATTCTCCACCAGTGGGTGCTGGAGTGAAGGCTGCACATGCTGTTGCCCAGAAGAGTGGTTTTCCATGGTTCTGTGTGTAGCTGGAAGTGTTGACACTTGGCAGTCTTTGGGCAATGTGAGGTTAATAACAGTGCTTGATCCTGTTTTGCTTGTCTTACAGAAATGGGTGTTATGCCTGAGATAGCTCAAGCAGTGGAGGAGATGGACTGGCTGTAAGTAGGAGTGTGGCAGACTCTAATCTGCCTTTCAGCAATGTTTGACGTGCTTCTTAAAGCACCTCTGCTGTCACATTAAAGCAAAGTGGATGTGTGTTTTCCTTTTACTATCATTGCATCTCATGTGCTTCTCTGTAGTGTGAAAGATTGAAGAATACAAACTGTAACTGCAGCAGTAACATTTAAACTTGGACAGGCAGAGCATGACTGCTTATGCTTCACTTCTTTTGTTTCACAACAGGCTCTGTGCCTCTGGTGTATTTATATGTATCATGGGGTTATTGGATTAAATACTCTCACATAATTTATGCTGGTTTAGTACATTTTTTTTCCAGACTGTGGCCTATGATTGTGTTTTTCAAACTGAGTGGATGTGTATCAGTCTTCTAAAAAAGTTGTTATTCTTGTGTTTGGTTACTTGTTTGGCCATATTTTTACTTCAGAGTTTGTTTTGAATTGTCATTCAGAAAGTTGTCAGTATGGGCAAACAATGTATTTATTTTTTCTCATATGAATATTAATTAGGTGTAATTGTCTGAAAATGCTGTTTGAGTTTATTTATCTTTACTTTTTTTTCCAGTTTTGAACAGGGATCATGTAAATGAGATGAGTGTAGGTGGCTTTAAAGAAAAACTAATTTGAAGAAAAGAAGACAAGGAATATTAGTTAATAAGGTTTTTTTAATAGTTTAGCATGATGATATGAGATGTAGCTCTCTTACCAAGGTGCACCTGACTCCACTGCAAGCCAGGAGGAATAGCAGTTACCTGCTTTATCTTGCAGATGCTCACGGTTTCTGTGAATTTCTATATCAGTAAAAAGTTAGATGTAGCTCTCTTACCAAGGTGCACCTGACTCCACTGCAAGCCAGGAGGAATAGCAGTTTTTACCTGCT